CTACCTCGCAATGTCCTTGTTTGACAATCAGCAGTTAGCGGTTAACGTTAGCGGATTATACTAGCGGATTTGACCAGCGAATTTATTTAATTATTAACATTGGGTAGAAAAAATGACCGCCAAATTATTAAATCAAATGAATGGTTCATATTGTTCAGGTTTTAATTTTTTCTTTTAAGATTTTCTAATTTATCCTTAATTATATGATTATCCATTTAACTTTTCCGTTAATTCATCGTTAGTCTAAGTCTAATATTAAAGTCTAATATAGAATTATAACTACACCATTAATCTAATTCTAATATTAAAGTCTTAATAGAACTTAATCACAAATCCTAATGTCGAAATCTCCTCAAACAATATTAGTATATATTTAATATTTTATGTCCTAATTTTTATTTGTTCTCCCTTATGTCCCATATTTGGTTTCAACGATACCTATACAATTATTTTATTGACAATTATAATCAATCTTGACTATATTATCTTGCATTTGTAAACTTAGAATTACCTATTTAACCCGCACGGGCTTAGCTCAATGGTTTAGTGGGTAGTGTTTGGGAGAAAAGACGAAGGTTTGAACCTCGGCGGCGGCAGTGCGGGAATTATGTCCAAAGTGGGCAGATTCCTTGTGCGTATCAGCATTTGGCCCTGTCTGCTGAACCATTGAGTCACCGTGATTTACAATTTCCCACAATGCTCTGTCGGGTCGGAGTGTGGGGGGCCCTTGGGGTTGGGGACTCAACCTTTGGGAGAAGAATTACCTATTTAAATACGCAAATTCAACCTTCAATTATCTATGCATGAACAATTTCAATATAATCCTGTCTTAATATACTTTAAAGTACTTATTTAAAAAAAAAGAATTGGGCATTATCCCAATCGCGCAATGCGCGTAAAAAACTAGTGAGTTAGATAAGGTCGATCCAAACAATAAAAGTCTTAACCCCACTCGACCCACATTCCCAAAAAAAACCTATTTTTTTTATTCAATTTCTTTAATTCAGAATTATTATATTTATTAATTTATGTATTTATTTTTATTATAATAAGTTACATATCTAAAATTATTTATTTATATATTTTTATTATAATCATCATTAATCTTTATAGCTACGATAAATTGTACGTAGTAATATATAATTTTATTTTAATATAACTAATAATTATATTATCATTAAAATTACTAATATTTTATAAGAAATAACTTAGCAATAGATTTATGTTTATGTTTTTAACAATAAACCAAAAAAAAAAAAAAAAAAATTTCTAGTACTAAAAATTTTTTTTTTTTTAACTTTCAACCAAATAGAAAAAGTTTGAGCTCGAGCTGAACTTGACCTCAAACGTTTTAGGCTCGTGACTCGTCGAGCCATGCACACACACTCACACACAAAATTATAGTTGAGCGGCTCGCAAACCGCTTGGTCGAAGCTCGGCTCGAGTTCGGTCAACTTCAAGCTCAAGCCAAACTCGAGTCGGCTCATTTCATAACCGAGCCGAGCTCGATCTTTAGATTTTGAACTCGATTCTACCTATTGTTTATCAAACTCGAGTTTGAGCCAACCCGAACTCAAACTCGGCTCGACTCGTTTACACCCCTATGTCAAACTAGTAGAAAGAATAAATGGAAGATATGCCCAAACCAAAGAGAGTTTGACAACAAACTTAACCAACAGAGTATAATAGACCAAGGTTGATCAATTTCGGTTGCTTTAAAAAAATGGTAGATACAAGTCTTATAGAAAACTTGTAGCAAAATCAGCATATAAGACATACCCTCAGTAGAGGTCAATAAATCGGAAAAGATATAACTAGAGGAGGTGACTAGATCATAAGAGTGAGACTCTTGGCATACTAAATGACTTAGAAGAGATAGATATAATTGGCAGTCATATTCACAGAAGATATGGAAGACATATGATGACTTTGTTAGTTATTAGGGAGAAGATATGGAAGACATATGATGACTTTGTTAGTTATTAGGGAGAAGTGTCAAATAGGCCCATGTACTATTGTCAAGTGCTCAATTCTCACCATAAACTAAATTAAAGGCTAATTAACCGCACTTACCTACTAAATTTGTTCAATTAGCTTTTTTTTTGCAGGTAATTGACTTTTTTTTGCAGGTTACCAATTCAATTATTAAAAAAATAATTTCAAAATAATTTAAAAATTATTAAAAAAAAAAAAAATACAGCCACCGGCTGTCCGGCGAGGACAGCCGGTGGCTGTATTCTTTTTTTTTTTTTTTTTTTAATTTTATTTTATTTTTTATTTTTTTTTATTTTAATAATTAAATAGGTAACCTGTTATTAACCTCTAAAAAAAGTCAATTAAACAAATTTAACTCATAGATGGACCTATTTGACACTTAATTTAGTTCGTGGTGAAAATTGAGCACTTCGCAGTAGTAGATGGGTCTATTTGACACTTGTGCCTAGTTATTATTATAAACTAACATAAACTCAAAGAAACTTAAATCATAAGAAATCTCGTAATAATAAAAGTTTTAAGATCATCTGAATATCTCTTGCTATAGTTGAAGTAATTGTCTTTGGTATGATAAGACTTGCAGAATAACGTTGGTATTGGAATATGAACACGAGAGATGTGGGAGGACACTTTTGCTTAGAAACACATGTGCCCTCATTATAGACGTATATTCAATTAAAGTCAAACTGAATATCTGAATATCCTAAATTATCTAATTTAGGAAAATCAATTATTGACTTAATCATTCACTTGCACCACAACCACTACTTAATAAATAAATAAATAAATAAATAAATAAATAAATATATATATATATATATATATATATATATATATATATATATATATACACACACACACACACACATATATACATATACTTACAGCCTTCATTGATCGAGGAAAAAAGAAAAACTCAACTTTAGAGGAGATCTACGTTAGTAGAGTCAATGGTTAAAATGAAAGAGATGTTTCAACAACTAACACAAACTAGCGATATACTAGAAAAAAAAAAGATATTAGAATGAAGGAGAAGATATCTATTGACAAAGTCAGAAGTTTAGTAGAGGTATAATAGTCAAGATCAGTAACCAAAAGGGTAGCTCAAGTGCTAAAAGAGCTTCTTTGTAGGGATGAGTCTAAAGATAACTCAGATTTGATTTTCACAAGTAATAATTCTTTTTGGACCAGTTCTCATGTCTCTCAAAACGAACGGAAATTAATCAGGTGGACCCGAAACACCTCGTAGTTTACCAAAAATAATAATAGTCAAGATCAGTAGACACAGTTTGAATGTTAGCAAAGATAAGATAGGTTAGAAGAATTTTCTACTTAACTCCCAAAAAACATACATGAGTACAAGGAATAGAATAAAATGTGATGATGGACCAATAGAAATATTTGGTCAATTGCACTTTTCATATATAAAGCCTCATATTGTGCTGAAAAATAAGGTAGGTAGTATGAACATATTTTATAGTTGCATATAATTTTTATAATAAATTTATTTATTTTAAAAAATATTTTATAATGTTCATAATAATAATCTATATCTATCTATCTATACTTCTATACTATATATATAAAAACAAAAATTCTCCATTTTAACTTCTCGCCCAAATTAGATCTATACTATTAAGATTTGCGTAATATTGTAAAATATTAATATTTCATACTTTCCTATTCGTACTACAATTCTACATTTCTATTCTAATATTATAAAATTATAAAATTGTGTAATACAATTCCTAATAGAATATATTGTTTCCTACTTTCATATTCTACTACAATTCTACATTAAAATTTCTATTCGTAATACAATACAATAATATTAAAATTCATATTTCTATTCAACAATATTATATTATTTCTTTTCCCATTAAAAATTATATTCTCCATTATTAGTTTTATAATTCTTCGTTAATTCTCTATTAAATTTACTAAATTTCAAACTCGCATTAAAACTAAATTGCCTGGCTGACTTATTAAGATTTAAATAAAAAAAATCCTTAAAAACATGTCTACTTAATTCCTCGGCCTGTATCTTCCGACAATCACATAGAAGAAACATAATTCCATACAACACTGATAAACCCAGTTAAAATCAAACTCAATCTCCCAACTCCATGTTGTACTCAAACACTCCTAAATCACCTATAAATATAGCCCAAAACCCAGCACTCCATCACCCAGACTGAAACAGAAGATTGAGGAAGAGAAATTTGAATCAATATACAATTATATAAATTATAACAACATATATTATATTGTGCACTCTATTTAATATTAAAAATACAAAAATATTAAAATTCCTATTTCTATTTTTCCGTCATTACTCAATATTGAATCAATGATATTTAGTTTACTCCAATCTATTTATTCGACTTTTGTTATTTACTTTTCATTATTTATAAATAAACTATTTTATTTTTTTTGTTTTTTTTTTTCCTTTTAAGAGTTGATGTTATCGGATTCAGATAAAAAATAGTTTGCTTTGGTGGAGTTGGAGAAGTTGTTATCTTTGTGGGGAAGAGCCTGAAGGACTTTTCAGAAATGTCAATTTCAGATGAAACTAGCATAAGTTTGAGTGAAAGCATGTTGATAGCTAAAAGAGTTGACGTATGACAAGAAATCGTTGAAGACAAAGCATGAAACATTGGTAAAACAATTGATCGATGAGCAAAATAGTGTTTACGACTCTGTGATGAATGATATTGATTCCAATGGAGGTGGATTGTTCTTTGTGTGTGGTTACGGAAGAACAAGCAAGACGTTCGTGTGGAGAACATTATCCGCAAAGATAAGGAGCCACGTTGATATTGTTTTGAATGTTGCTTCCAGTGGAATAGCATCTTCGCTCTTGCAGGAAGGCAGAACGACGCATTCCAGATTTGCTATACCATTATCCTTGAACGAAGATTCCATCCCACGTGCAATATATCCAAGGCAGTGACCTTGCTGAGCTTATAATAAGGAGAAAATTGATAATATGGGATGAAGCACTGATGACGCATAAACACTATTTTGAGGCTTCGGACAAAATCATGAGGGATCTATTGAGGTTCGCCTTACCGGGTAGTGCTGAAAAGACTTTTGGTGGAAAGACAATAGTTTTGGGCGGCGATTTTAAACAGATCCTACCTGTTATTTCGAAAGCAACAAGACCAGTAGTTGTCGGAGCAAATATTAGTTCTTCATACCTGTGGACAAATTGCAAGGTATTAAGGCTCACCAAGAACTTGAGATTACAGACCTTAGCTTCAAAGGAAGATAGACAGACGGTTGATTGGTTTTCAAAATGGATTGCAGACATCGGAGATGGGATTACAAGGGTTGTAAATAGAAGTTCATTTGAGATCGATATTTCGGCACAGTTTTTGTTGAAGTGTGAACACAATCCCATAACAACTATAGTGGAAAGCACATTCCCAAGCTCAGGATATGGCATGTTTGATGAGTCACAACTAGAAATTCGAGCGATCCTCTCGCTGACTTTAGATGCCGTTGATCAAATTAATCGGTACATATGCGACATGAATACTGCAAAAGGACGAATATATTTAAGTTGTGACTCTTTGTGTAAGGCGGAATCAGACAGTGAAAATCTATTAGAAGTACACACTCCTGAATTCTTAAATAGTTTGAGATTGTCGGGTCTTCATAATCATTCATTAACATTAAAGGTCGGTGCACCTGTTATGTTATTGCGGAACATAGACCACTCTCTTGGTCTTTGTAACGAGACGCGACTCATCATCACAAGATTGGTAGATCATATTGTCGAAGCAAAACTAGTTAATGGGACACATGAAAGAACCAAAGTTCTTATTCCCCGAATGTCTCTCACTCCTTTTGATACGAGATTGCCCTTCAAGTTCCAGCGTAAACAATTCCCATTGATGCTTACATATGCCATGACTATCAACAAAATCTAAGGTCAAACACTAACTCACGTTGAATTATTGCTAAAAAAAACTGGTCTTTAATCACGGACAATTGTACGTGGCTTTCTCTCGAGTCACCCATCCTGATGGCCTGAAGGTGTTAGCTCTAGAAAGGATGGGCAAGGTGTTGCGACTACCAATGTCGTCTGTTGAGATTAACAAGAACAAGATAAATAATAATGGCAGAAAGGTAAAGAAGACAAGATTTACGTGGTTCGGCAATGTGCCTACATCCACGGGAGTGAAACGATTCTTATATTCATAGTGATGGTGATAGTGGTGACACGACTCATAGGGATACAACCAATATATTTATAGGCATCTAATCCTTATACAATAGGTTTACCCGTTTCACTCCTACTCTTAGTATGAGAAAAACACTTATTCCTAATCCATATATGAGACAAACTCAACAATCTCCACCTTCGCGAATATGTTCTTTAGGAGAAAAGATAACTCAACAAATCTCCACCTTGACGAATATGCTCTTTATGAGAAAAGACTTATCTCACCATCTCCACCTTCACATATATGCCCTTTAGGAGAAAAGACTTCTCCACCTTCGCAAATATGTCCTTTAGGAGAAAAAGATAACTCAACAAATCTCCACCTTAGCAAATATGTCCCTTAGGAGAAAAGACTTATCTCACAATCTCCACCTTCACAATTATGCCCCTTAGGAGAAAAAGACTTATCTCACATATACACATGGGTAGGAACAACCATGCTCATCCCAACTAGCCAGCCACATGCATACGCAGCATCAAACGTTACCCAGTGCATGTACACGAACCGCTTTGTTCCAAGCCATTCGCCCCTCAGCCGTCGACCTGATATACCGCCGCGACTCATGCTAACTGCCCCGTTCAGCTAACTTCCCGCATCCGGCCCATACCAGATCCATATCCCCTCCTGGTATCCACGCTGCCCCAACACAACAGCGCCCCTGCAAAGTCACACTAAATCCGTGTGCCTTGCCCAATGCTCCACTAACCAGCAATTACCACTGGCCAGCAACACGCACAACGCAGCATCAAACGTTTCCCAGTGCATGTTCCCGAACTTCTTCATCGTCCCGAGAAGTCCTCCCATACCAGCCGTGACTCATGCCAAGTCCCGGTCCATACCGATACCATATCGGCCCTAACCAGTGCCATACCGGCACATACCGAGCCCATATAAGCCCATACCGATACCAGCTGAGACTAATGACAAGCCCAGCCCATACCGAGCCAATATTGACCCATACCGATACCGATACCGATACCGATACCAGGTCACGACCCCTCCTGGTATCCGCGCTGCCCAACACTACAGCGCCCCTCACCACTTTCTCATCTAGCATCTAGAAACACCCAACAAGTCCAAACAATGTTCGAACTTGTTACTAGTTACCGCTAGAACATCACCTTCACTATAATAAGAGTCATCAGCACGTACCACGTCCGTAGCTTCCTGCTTCTTCAACTCCTTCCAATCAGCCTCTTCCAGATTTGCTGGATTTTCCGCCCTCAAGGTTTTCAGAAGGCCCTGATATGCCAACAAATCCTTTACCCTAGACCGCCATAACCCAAAATTCCCTATACTATCAAACTTTGATACCTCGAATTTTGTACTTGAACTAGCCATCTCAACTATGCTCTGATACCAATTTGTTGAGATTAACCAAGAACAATAAATAATAATAATGGCAGAAAGGGTAAAGAGGACAAGATTTACGTGGTTCGGCAAAGTGCCTACATCCACGGGAGTGAAACAATTCTTATATTCATAGTGATGGTGATAGTGGTGACACAACCCCTTAGGAATACAACCAATATATTTATAGGCATCTAATCCCTATACAATAGGTCTACCCGTTTCACTCCTACTTCTAGTATGAGATAAACACTTATTCCTAATCCATATATGAGACAAACTCAACAATCTCCACCTTGGCGAATATGTTTTTTTTAGGAGAAAAGATAACTCAACATCGTCTACAAAGAGGTTTTCAATAATGTGTAAATATAATCGATGATATTATGTTTTCTTTTTAAATGACAAAATTGCTATATATCTAGACAAAAATATATCCTTTATACAAATGACAAAATTACGCATAACAATTGTCAATTGGAACAAATGAAAATAATTGATTTTGATGAGAACAATGGAGACATAATATGTGTCGCTTGTTTTATGTTTAATCGTCTTATATATTTTAATATTACAATTTGTTTAGTAGTTTGCAATTTTATTTTATTTTACATTATTGGGTATTTTTCTGTGAAATATTACATTCTAACATTTTAATAAAGAGTCTTTAATTATTATTGATATAATAATTAAAAAATAATATATTTTGTAAATATAATAATTTAGAAAGTAATATATGTTAAAAACATATATATTTGAAAAGTTGTATATTTAATTGTGAAAATAGATATTAAAAAATTGTAGTGAAGAGAACTGAAAAGAATTGATAATAAAACAGATATAAAGTAGTCAAATATTTTTCTTTATTATATAGGTAATAAATAGGTTTTAAAAATTAAATAGATTTTGTTAATAAAAATAAAAAATTTCCTACTAAAAATATATAATAATTTAGAAAGTAATAAATATTTTACAAAAGAAAACCTGATCGTTGACATTTTTTATTTAATAATGAAGTGACATGTCCTCATTCATTGTAGGTGTATTAGATCTATACATCAGCGTCAATGTATCAAATATTTTTCCTAAAGTTAATACCGATGACTGCATTGCAAAGGCAGGAAGCGGAGGCCTTACTAGAAATATGGGCGATCATGCATGGATTAAGCCTGGCTTGGGATAAAGGCTTTTGACGTGTGATTGTGGAGAGTGATGTTAAGCATGCCTTTGGTAACCAAGAAAATTAATAGGCAATTCCCATAAAAAGTCGAACTTGAAACTATGTAATTATTAATAAACTAATTATTTGATTAATTTGACTACGTGTTTCGTCTTTCTGTAGGAGCTGTATATTTAATTTCTTAGTTTGAACTGGTTAGCTATGGGTAACTTAGATTGTATTGTCTCCTATTGGTTCTTTGCCGGCTAATATCACAAGACGGACTTCACCTAGAACACACTTCTGATAATGACTATGAACTTTCTGGTAAATCAAAATATAGTCAACTTATTAATTGATAACAAAACTGAAAATATCATTATAATTGAAGACTAAAATTGAAATTAATTATTTGAAAATATCATCATGAATAACGTGTACGTGGACCATCTTTTACATATAATAATATATATTCAAATTACTGCTACCTTTTAATCACTGTACTTTAATTTTTCTTTGATTTAACTTTCTCATTGATGAGTATAGTGGATGATTACTTCCAATGAGTGAATGATGAAAGTGGAAAAGGATAAAACCCAAAAGTGAAAACCTTTCAATTGGTCAAGTCATCATTCATCAAGGTATCCTTAGTCTCAAAGACAATGGACCAGGCTTCCTTCTCACCACATCATTATATTGTGCTTTAATTTGCATTTCATTCTTCCATCATTGCCTACCTGGCTACCTGGCCTGCTGCATTTATCTACAATTGTCATCCTATCGATTAGGGTTCATTTGCATTGTAAACTCTGATCCAAAAAATATGTATATGTAGTTTACACATTTTGTATTTATAGTTAATAATTTATGTACTTGACACATATGTAGGTACATAATATGTTAAATGCAAACATATAAGATATTAATTAACATGTTATGTGTCTGCAGTTAACATATTCTGTACCTACAGTTTTAAAAACACATAAGATGTTGGTTAACATGTTATGTGTCTGCATTACGTTAACATATTTTGTGCATACAATTAACAATTTATGTGCCTGTAGTTATCATGTTATGTGTCTGTAATTACCATGTGATGTACCTTCAATTTATTTACAGGTATATAAACGGTTAACTACATATACAAAATGTGTCAACTACAAGTACAAAATCTAAAAGTTATTTTTGGGTCAGGGTCTACAATGCAAGGTAAACTCTGGTCCATGGTGTAATTTGCCATTTATCTATCTATAATATCAACTTCCCTTTGATGCATATATATATATATATATATATATATATATATATATATATATATATATAGATCAGTTCACGTGCGAAGACTCCCCAGGTGATAGATTGGGTGAAATCTGAGCTGTTGATCTAATGTAGATCAACGGCTCAAATCAAGAAAAATTATTAAAAAAACAAAAATGCACTATCGGTCTTCCCATCTCTAAAGCACAACTTCAAGCATAGGATAGTATGACTGGACATCAAGTTTACAATATGGTGAATTTTTCATTTCTCTCAAATATTCTAAAGCGGTTTGTTCTTGAGAAGTTTGAGGAAGCGCTGCAGATTTTTGATAGGATGAAGTTCGTTGGTTGCAAACCTGATACACTTTTCTATAATGCCTTGATTCATACATTAGACATGGCTCACCAAATAAAAGAGGTTGAAAATGTATTCAAAGTTGGAATGCAGATAAATTGTGTCAAACCAAACACTTCAAGATATAAAACCACGCACCTTAAGTTATAAAACTACGCACCTTAAGGTATAAAACAACACATCTTAAGAAGGAAAACAACACCCCTTAAGAAGGAAAATCACAGACCTAAAGCTTTAAACCGATACACGCATCTAAAGCTTTAGGCCAACGCACCTTAAGTTTAAACAACTGACGCACCTTAACACAGACCAAGCACCTTAAGAAGGAAAACCACGCACTTAAAGCTTTAGACCGACGCACTTTAAGTTTCAACAACTGACGCACCTTATGCACACAACACAAAAACCACACACCTTACATTTGACCTAGACGAAAAAAGAAAATTACCATCGCGTTTTTAATCCTTGTTAATCCTGGACGTTGATCTTGGCAAGATCAATCACTCTCATCTCACCCCACGTTCGCACCTGAGCACACCATCTATATATATATATATATATATATATATATATATATATATGAGATATCTGAGCCTTTGATATGTCCAGATCAACCGCTCTAAAAAAGAGCACTTCTAATATAAATGACGCCATCTTCTCCAGTAAACCATCTCTGATCTATTGTATTTGCTTTTTATTCAAGTCATGGAAGACACATAATTGTCTCCTGGAAGGCATAACAATATACAATGGGAAGCACAACAATATGCTATAGAAGGCTCAACAATGTGCACTTAAAGGCAAAACAATATGCACTTCGGAGGGACAACAATGTGCTCAAGAAAGCTCAATAATGTGCCTCTGAAAGGCTCACAATGTATAGTCTATGGCAAAACAATATTTGCTTCGAAGGCACAACAAAGTGCTCTGAAAGGCACAACAATATGCTTTGGAAGGCTAAAAAATGTGCTTTGGAAGGTCAACAATGTATACTGGAAAACACATCAGTGTGCTTTGGAAGACACAACATTGTGCTCTGCAAGAAGGAAAAAATGCTCTGAAAAAAAAAAAAAATTTACTCACACAAAATTATCATAATACCACCACATTTTTTAAGTAGCTTCATTCATGACCCTTGATCTGGACTGGATCAATAGATGAGATTAAACCCTATTTTTCATCTAAGGAAAGGTTTTCACCTGATCTGTTATATATATATATATATATATATATATATATAGAGAGAGAGAGAGAGAGAGAGAGAGAGAGAGTTGAGTTTAAATAAGGACCACTATATTATAGAGGACCGTTAGGACTGATGTAGTCGTGTGCCATTAATCTGTATGTCGTGTGCATAGGTTTGTTAATTAATAAAGCCTGGGACCGAAAGATGATGTTTACATGTATTCTTGTATGTCATTGTGTATTAAGTTGTGTGCCTGATACTAATTTACCATGTGCGCGTAATCATTCCGCACAGTCCTCTATACATTGTTGTCCTCATGTGAACTCAACCATATATATATATATATATATATATATATATATATATATATATATATATATATATATATATATAGGGAAGAGATCAGGTGCGGGAATAGCTTCCCGTGCGGTTGGACGCACATTAAGCATTAAACTAATGCACTTTAAGTAGACAATACACACACATTAAACACACAAACAAAACACCTTAAGAACACAAATCATGTACCTTAAGAACACCAACCACGCACCTTAAGCACATAACAAAGCACCTTAAGAACACAAATCACGCACCTAAGGTTTTAAAAATGGTTTACTTTAAGTTTCACATAACTGACGCACCTTAAGCATACAAATCACGCACCTGAAGATGAAAACAACGCACATTAAGAAGGAAACACACGTACCTAAGTGTCAGCAACTATTCACATTAAACACAAACACACGCACCTTAAGCACAAAACTCACGCACCTTAAGCACAAAACTCACACACCTTAAGTACAAAACCACGCACCTTAAGCACAAAACTCATGCACCTTTTGGTAATCTAAACGTTGATTTAAGCAAAATCAGTGGTTCCCCTTTCACCGCACAACCGCACCTGGGACCCTCAATCGCACAGGAACCCATATATATATATATATATATATATATATATATATATATATAGGATAAGGATCCTGAGAGAAAAATATCATAGGAGCCTTACATCTTTAAAAATTCAACAGATCTTATCAAATTTTTAAAATAATTGATGACATTTTCGTAATTATCATCAACTTCTCTATGCAAACTTTAACACTTAAAATATGCAATCTTTAACAACTAAATATGCAAACCTGGCAAATTTTATATCATCAACGAAAAAGTTAAATTTTAAATCTAAACTATAAATGCTAGACCTTATGTAGTAAAAAGTGAACCACTAAACTAAATAAAACCAACAACTCAATCATAAACTCTAAAATCGAAACCCTAAGTGCAATGAACTTTGACATTTTTGCAAGTGCAATCTTTTAATACTAAATATGCAAAATGTTAATACTAAATGTGCAAAATGTTAATACTACATGTGCAAACCTGAAAAAGTCTGAGAATTGCATATTTTAGTGTTCAATTTTGCATAGTAAAATTGGTGATAATTACGAAAAAGACACCGCATTTTTTTTTTTAATTTGATCTGATCCGTCCGATTTTTCTTGGTGTAATGTTGAGATTGGTTCTTATTGCTCTCCTAAGGACTTGTTCTCATTTGATCCTCTCTCTCTCTATATATATATATATATATATATGCCAACTTAATTCCATTATGCACATGCATACTCTTAATGTTCTTTACTTCTTTATATCCATGTCGCGCACTGGATGGTTCTGAGTTCTCTCCTGGGCGGCCCTTCGTATGAGAGTGTGCCCATTTATATATATATATATATATATATATATATATATATATATATATATATATATATATATATATATAAAATCGCGTTCAGGTGCGAGCTGCTCGTCCAGGAGAGAACTGAGAACCATCCAACGCGCGCCACGTGTCCAGATCTAAGTGCACCTAACGTTATAACTAGGTGCACCAATAGTTATAGGTAGGTGCATGAATGTTTGCGGGTGGTTTTCACGGGTCCTAACTACCCGCTGAACTTCCGCAAGAACAAAAGCGATGTCAAACAGAACGAACTCAGATCAATGAATGTTAATAAGGAAAATTTACATGCACTTGTAGGTGAAAATAGGTGCATTTGTAAGTGATTTTACCTGCAATTTTTATTTGCAAAGGTGCACCAACTACTTGCCATATAACACATTTACATGAACCAAAGGATACGTGGCGCGCACTGGATGGTTCTCAGTTCTCTCCTGGGCAGCCCTTCGCATGAGAGTGCGCCCTTATATATATATATATATATATATA